ATTTTCAGACGGTGATTTAATTGGCTGTAGTCATCCTGTGACGACCACATGGTTGGACTTATTTTACACCCGGGTACGATGTAAATATGTGTCTATGTGACGTCACAACAGTCTGGATGAACATGATCTATTTCTGCATTTATGTTTCTTTGGAGGAGGGGCGGCGGCGGCACGGTGAGAGTTGGCCATGGTTCCACTCAGCCACTCAACATGAAGAGGTGTTGCGTCAGGATTGGTTTCCGGCGTCAGATTGTGCCAAATCACTACGCGGATTGCCGCTGTGATTTAGCACTGAGGGAAAAATCCGGAAGACATTTGACCATTTTAAGAAGCCACCAAATCATTGATATACATGTTCATATATGGAATTTATTTGTCTCCACAAAGGGGTTAAAACAATTTGACACCAAATTGTTTACACCTACTTACAGAGACTATTCTGTTATCGACCGTAAAGTAATATCGGCCCAGACGATATCGGCCCGACATGGGTAGCGGGTGTCGTGTCGTGTCGTGTACCCGGGTCTGTTTATGGCTGACTTTGAAGTGTGTGTTTGCAACGTGACGAGTACACGAGCAGTGCGGGGAAGGGCAATTTTGCGAGATGCATGAGTGGGAGTGGATGGAGTGGAACATCCCTCCTTCTGTCTCCATCATCCCTCCCTCCTCTCCCCTGTCTTACCCTACGCGTTTTTTTGTCCTTGCTTCCACTGTCGTACCACTGCAGCACTGCAGTTCTCCACGAGTCTATTGTTAAATGTAAATGACTGTCATATTTCCTGGAGGACATTTTGTCAGTGGATGGTATGTGTGTGTGTGGAAGAGAGAGAGAGAGAGAGAGAGAGAGAGAGAGAGAGAGGGGATCAAATAGACAGACAGACAGAAAGAGCGAGAGAGACACAGAGAGAGATTAAGGCACCTGCTGTAAAATTACTGGCAAATGGCAACCAATTCCGTGGTGCAGATTGGCTGCTTTTATTTGCATTGACACACACACAGACCCGCAGACAACCCCCTCCCCTGTCCCTCCACACACACACTCACACTTGGTCCTAGGTTTGGTCGCGTGGTTGTTAATAGGATCCAGAGAGCCGCTGCCTTTTGTCCGTGTGTGTATGTGAACTCGTCCCTGTGGGCTTTGTCAAAGGCGCCTTTCACTGAGAACAATGCTATACTCCGTTTAGCCTTTTAACCTCTGATGCTCAACAAAAAGACAAACACACACACACACACACACACACACACACACACGCGCGCACACACACCGAGGGTGAAAGTGATGCCAGTAAAAGTCTAAAGCCCAGTGTAGGATTTACGCCCGCACCGTAGTAGGTGAGAGGTTCGAGTCTCACCACACGTTACAATACGGGGTCTTATCTCCACGAGTATTACGGCTGTGGGAGCCTTCAAGTAAATGACGTGTCCAGTATTACATGTGTTGTGTCTGATGACACGCTCAAAATTGGAAATCACTGCACTTCGTTTTGAATTATATACATTAGCTTAGCTTTAGAATAACGATATAATTTAGGACCAGGCTATGGAAGGGCTTTTTTAATGGAATATAATTTTAGTTTAAGAAGAAGAAATTGCAACCTAAATCTAAAGCTGAAAAATAATGATATATTTCTTGTTTAAAAGCTAGTGAAAATTCATTTTTACTAGTGAAACTGGAGAATAATATCAACAAAAGTATTATTATTAATACTATTACATAAAAGTTATTATTATTAATAACAGTTCTGTTTGTGTGATGCATGTTGTAATAGAATGTATTTGCATAATGATTAATTTTAATGGATAATGTGTTGATAGTGATGGTGTGTTCTGACGCACACACATACATATAATTACGTTATAATATCAATAGTTCAAAAACTATGTTAGTGTATAGTTTGTGCTCATTTAAAAAACACATTCACTTTTTAATTAAAAGTATACAATTTTGTAATGCATGAATACTAATTCTAAATGTATCTGCATCAATACCTTTAATATTTTCTCACCACCTAAATGTGTCCTGTCCCATTCTCTTCCTATGATTAACTGACAGTATCTCAGTCAGGGGAGACGTTTCCCACGAGGTGCCCAATAAGTGGATTGCGATCTACCAGTAGAGAATTGAATCTCATTGTGTATATATATATAAAGCATGTTCAATTTATATTAATAAATATATTTAAATGTTTTCCATGTACAGTAGGTAGGTCACTTTAGCCTGCTCATTTGAATAGTAGCTCCCAAGCCAAAGACAGTGTGGACTCCCCTGACGGAGACTGTTCTTTCTTCCAGGACAAAACACACAGTGTTGACATTGCTGGTTGACATTGAGTAAAAATATAAAATACTAGACATTTCGAGGATATCTACCCACAATTATCTCGAGACTCCCCAGCCGGTGCAAAGTCAGGCTTTTACAGTAGCACCGCAAGTTGGTGAAATGAAACCGATGAATACGTTTTGAACGTGAGGGTTGATAAAGTCGGAGCCAAATGTTGACGATGTAGTACACTGACAATTCCATATGCGCCCTCTAGGTACACCTGTGATAACTGCAGTGTGAACATGTAAAGATAAATAAATCATAGGGTTTAAACCTACTCACCAAGGTTAGATAGAATGGTGTCTGTCGGCTCACGTCCATTCAGAGTCAACAGAAGAATAACTGCAGGTGTTTTCAGTCCACTGTGTTTATATGAAAGATCTAATTTACTGACACAAAGTTAACATTTTAAAAAACTGCTTTAGTCAAGATCAGTGTTGAAAGCACAGTGAATGGTAATAACAGGACTGTGTCGGAGCACAGAATAGCAGAGTAGATTTATTGAAGTAGAACTTGATTAGATGTTTCTAGGCCAAAATTAACTTTACTTAGAAATGCTGAATAGATTATCACCTTTGAAATATGACGGTGAACAGTTATAATCCAGGAAACAGGGAAGGACGGCTGGTTTACAGAACTGTCCACCACTGCCTGTATTTTCTCTTCTCTGGGTGAGAATGATCACAGGTGGCCTGAGTGAGCTAAAGGCACCGAGCAGTTACATGTTTTAGCAGCGGTTGCATCAGAAATGCAGAGCACATTTTAAGGTGTAGGGACTGAAGCAGAGGGTGAAGATGAAGGCGACCTAGAAAAACTGGACTCTTCTGGAAACTTCTGAAAAATATTAATCCTTTGATTTAAGATGATGACTGTCTGACTGACTGAAGGTGAGAATAACTGGGGATCATTCCCACTTGGCTTATAGATATGATGGACCAAAACTGAGTTTAAGATCAATAATCTGTAGTAATGATTTAGACTGAGGCTCCTCAGGTTTGAAGTATTTTAATTTCTAATGTTCCAGACATGTTTGTCAGCAACTAAATGTTTCAATTACAAATGTCTTTAAAATGCTTATTTTCATTTTCTCTGTTTCCTAACATTTTTCTGTCTAATCAACATATCGTAGGTGGTTTATATTTGGAAATACTTCTTCCTGACGTTGTTCTGACGTTGTTATTCTGCAGTGTCTGCAGGACATGCAGCGTGCATATCCACACCAAATGTCAGGAGATTTACTGTGTAGCGTTACAAAGTTATGAGGACATTACAATGTGTGTTTTTGTCTGGAGACGTTGGATTTGCTGTGTGTGTGGTTGTGTTTCAAAGGGCCACGTGGGAAATTAGTTCCTCAATTCTCCAGTTTTAAGGTCAATGTTCAATAAAACAAACAAGAGAACTCCTCTTCTGCCAAATTCCATGTCAGGATGGTCAGTGAGAAAAGGATCCAAATGTATCAGTCACAAAAAAAATACTTTTGTTTTTCAATGGAACCAAAACAGAAAATAATAGAAATATAAACAGAAGATTCACTCAGGCAACACCCACAACGTTCTTTAAGAGTTTCTGGTGTTTGTTCCCACTGAGGGGTCGATGAAAACATTCACACGTTTGAGGAAAAAGTGCACAAATGTAAAAGACCACCAAACCAGTGATGCGAGTATTGATTTCATGTTTAAGGTTAAGTATTGATTTTAAATGTAAAAGCTCATGTGTCACTACCACATCTTTAAGTGCAACTGACCACATACAGGCTTTTTGTGCTGCTACACCCCGACCACTACACCAAACACCACATTTTATTTTAACCAAATCAACTTTAACAAATACACTGTGTGAACTCACTCCTATTTTTTACAAGACAAAAAGGACCAGAGGCAAAGCTGGGAGTAGACACACGGATGAGGAGAAAGAAACTCCCAAGAAGGAGGCAGATAGGCTGACAGAAACACTGGGACCAGAGCGGAGATAAAGAGGTGGATGATGTTCAGGTGAAACACAGGAAGGATGCTAACAGCAACAACTGTCACAGTCACGGACACAGAATAAAACAGGAGGTCAAGATAAGAAGATAAAAAAAGGGAACAAATATAAAGTGAAAAACCAGGCGATACATTAAAGCCAAACGGCCGAGATAACAACAGACATAACAGACATGAATGGTAGCAAGTTCGGTCAAACAAAGTCATTTCATTTGTTATTCCGTAGCTCACCATAACTGACATCAAACCAACCAATCCCGTCAGAGCAGCTCGGGTCATGAATGCATTAAATTAAAAACTTTAATGACAGTGAGCACTACTGCAGTACTTGTCCATGTGTTACAACACAATACGTGTGAAAAAACCAAAGCATCCAGTGATTATCATTGCCTGGACTGTGGTGTGATGTCATTGAAGAAACAGACTTCATGTAAAGTTGACTCCAGTCATATGAGTGTAATGATGCTGAGGACGCCAACGTAACTCGCTGCTTCTTTCTTTTCCCTGACAGTGATGGAAGAGCCAGAGTCCTGTGGACTCAGAGACACCTCCCAGCAGACAACATGAAGGAGGAACTGAAACTCACCGTGACAAAGATAGAGGACCATCCTGTCAGAACATGCACGATGAGTCTTCATAGCATCTATTCTGAAGAGTAGAAAACAAAACAAAAGAAGAAAACCACCTCCCCTCTTACTGGTCCCAGACCTGCTCAGTGGAGGACAAGAACCATTCCTCAAACAGCACCACCCTAATGTGACTGACCTTTAGACTGTTCACTGCAACGACTGTTCTCCTCTTACTGCCCTTTTCCCTTTTTCTATAAATATTTCTATATACACATATATATATACATATATTTATCTGTACTTATTGCTTATAAAACTCTAAAAACTCTTAGAAAACTCTCTTAGATTCAGTCTGTCCACACCTGTCTTATAATCTGACTGAATTCTCTCGCGTACCTTTTTGGATGAATTAATCCCTTGCAGCTATGGATCTTCTAAGTATTTCTATCAGACTCCAGTTGTTCCTCAGCACGTGTCTGGGACTGGAATTTTTAGGCACGCCGGGTCAGTGGGCACGCTACCTCCGCTGGGATGCCAGCACCCGTGGTGACCTCACCTTCCAGTTCAAGACGGACGCCTCAGAGTCGCTCATGCTGTACTTCGACGACGGCGGCTACTGTGACTTTTTCCTGCTGTCGGTGGTGGAGGGCCGACTGCAGCTGCGCTTCAGCATCGACTGCGCTGAGGCCACGGTGGTGTCCGACAGACGGGTGGACGACACCAACTGGCACGTTGCCACTTTGGGCAGGTATAACCTGCGCACAGTGCTGGTGTTGGACGGCCAGGCCAAAGCCGACGAGGTGCGACCTCAGCGCCAGTTCATGAAAATAGTCAGCGACCTGTTCCTGGGCGGAGTACCTCAGGATATCCGTCTCGGCGCACTCACACTGCCCACAGTGCGGAACATGCAGCCCTACAGGGGCACCATCACAGACCTCAAATATGGCATGTCACAGCCCGTGTTACTGGGAAGCTTTAAGGTGCCCCTGGAGTCAGAAGGCTGGTGCACTGTGAACCCTTGTGAAAATGGTGGGATGTGCTCGCTGGTGGATGGAGAGCCCGTATGTGACTGCTCCAAGACAGCGTACAGAGGTCGTTTCTGCAGAGAAGGTAACCACTCTTTATTCTTTATTCTACCACTGGGGATCAATGTTAAATGTTACAAATGAATAATAATAATAATAATAATAATAATAATAATAATAATAATAATAATAATAATAATAATAATAATAATAATAATAATAATAATAATAATAATAATAATAATAATAATAATAATAATAATAATAATAATAATAATAATAATAATAATAATAATAATAATAATAATAATAATAATAATAAAGGCAAGTCAAAGCTAGCTTATCTTTCATCTGTTATCTGCACTATATCATTTCAAGGTGATAATCACTTTCTCCAAAGCCTCAGCCATTTTCCTCATCATTCTGATTTGTCTAAAGACGCTCTCACCTGCTTTAACGTGGCATTGACTTGCCTTTTCCAGCGGATGGTATCATCCATACAGACATGTGTGCCACAGTGTGATAGATAGCTTGTAAAATCAGAAAGCTAATCTAAGTGTGTAGAGTCAGTGCACTGAGCTGATGGTTAATAGCAGCAGTCCTGCAGGCAATGATAAGGAGGCCCACAGAGAGAGCGCTGCCTTTCTTCACCCAATCACAAGATGGCAGGTGCTTTATATCACACCCTTTTATTCACACAATTCTGCTCAGGCTGTGTTGACGCTGCGCCTTTCTGGATTAAGGCAGACTTAAACTGCCTATTAAGAAAAAAGGTTTTTTTTTCTCTCCCTGTTGTGAATTTGCATTCATGAGGGAATGACAATATAGATGCTGTTTTCATCTGCTGTTTTTGGTCCCTGTAATTTCATTAATCCTGTTTGTTTAATGATGCCAGATCATTTAGTTTTCACTCTGGAAATCAGGGAATGATCTTTTCCAACCTGAAATAGATCACGTTGTTCTAAAAAAAGAAAGAAAAGCTTCTGTCTGTGGTTAAGAGTCAGTATTGGATCGTCAGTCGTCCAGCAGCTAGGAAGTACACGATAATTCAGTTATTTATGATATGGTTTATAATATTTAATTGAAAAGTAAGATGAAATGACGATCACTGGTGATTTATAAAAATAATACTGATGAATTCAAAAAGTCATGAGAATTCAAATTCTAAGATGGCAGTATATATTTTTAACTGCTGCTGCTACAGAGAATGGAGCCTCAGTTCTCTGTCTGAAAGGCTGAGCTGTTTGATTGGCTGAGCCTTCTCTGGTTAACTTGTCATTGTATCATTGCCTGTTGTTTCAATGTCAGGTTGCTGGAGTAGCTAACATGCTAAAAGGAGAAACAGCTAATCTCTGTCCTATTTATCTATTTATTTATTTATATCACAAGCCTACGTCCTCGCTGTTTATGAATCTGAAGTGTGCAGAAGCCTCCAAACCTCGGTAGAAGATGAATTATTCACCCTCGTGGAATATAGAGTTAGTACTCAAACGGCTAATACATATATAGATAGCTAGATCATTTTAGCTTGGTCATTTGAGTACTAGCCCCTAAGCCAAAGAGATGTGTTTCTCATGAATTAGCTTGGTCATTTGAGTACTAGCCCCCAAGCCAAAGAGATGTGTTTCACAGAAGTTCAAGTACAAGTGCCACTGTAGTACTTTGAAGTTCAAGGTACATATTGCTGCCTAATAAATCTTCTAAATACTTCTGACCATTAATTTCAACGATAGTAAAATGCTAAACATTCGTTAGCTAAACATTGTTTAGCCAGAGCTAACTGTGATCAAAT